TGCCACTATAGATCTCCTATGTGCTTAGAAAAAATTCAGCTCAATTCAACTTACAAATTGTGAGAAAAAGTCCAAAAACCGCACTATTGTCACTTGGCCACCAACTTGAAAGTTGTTGTAGATATTCTAGTAGCAATTTCTCCTTCATCAATTGTTAGTTTCAACTCAAAATTGGTATTTAACTTGATCTTAAAGTCTTCTTATATCATGCCAAATTTCATCTTGATCCAATTAGTAGATCTTTAGATATTATAGAAATCCTACTCTACTCCAAAGTACCAACTTCTGATACCCTCTTATACCAAAACCTAGATATCTCTCAAATGCATTATTAGATTAATAAAAAAATTTACACACACTTAGTACACCTAATTAACTAAGTACTATCAAATTTTGAATTATAGATGTGATACCAATTACACAAACTAGCAAAGAATACTAACCCTAATTATATTATATAAATTCCAAGTTACTAATATAAACCTTGACTTTGAATAACAATTACAAAGTCATTAAAAAAATTATAAAAATAAGCCTTATACTTCTAAAATAAGCTTGAAGCTAGCTCACGAATTCCAATTATCGATCTTTGAATGCTTTCCTATTTTATTCTATGTAGTTGTTTTAGTGGCTGAAGGTTTGATTTTGATCTTGTCCCACAAATTGTTGATCCTTGGATATCAATCTAACCTATTCTAAGAATTTTTTATTCCAATCCTACCTTCAATTTAATCTTAGTATCAACCATATTAATTATTTACCTCTTCTAATTTATTTTTATTAATTTGTAGCCTTTTTAAGGCATAAATAAAATCTTATAGACTAAAAGGTAAAATTACTAACCAATCTTTAATCTACTAGCTATTAAGATAGGAAAATAAACTAAGAGGCTTTTATAAAAGCCATGTTCAAGTATCTTGAATTTTTATTAATCTAAGATGATTAAATATTAATTAAAATTTTATTTTTGATTATATTTTCATCATATAGTGGTATTACAATACAACACTTAAGGAGAAATCCAAATTGTAGAATAATGGTAGTATAAATATTGAACGAGCTAATAGCCTTTATATTGTCAAGTTTGATTTTTTTTTAACATTTGGCAAGAGAAGTAGATAGGCAAAGTCTTTAATCCAACAATCTTACACAATTTAAAGGTTGTTGCTAACTAGTATTATAATACAAAGGCTTGAGAAGTATTGATGGAAAATAATTGATAATTTTGAGCTATGCTATAATTTGATATTGATTGCTTCTATGGTGGAAGTTGTCTGATGTTATTAGATATAGTTGATAGTTTCTTTATATGCTTCAGCCACTTTATTCTAGATTTTTGAGCCTAGTATATTTTTATGCTTGAAAAGCATGAACCAAAGAAGGTTTGGTGGCCATTGGCTACTAATATCTGATTGATAGCACAATAATTGATATTGCAATAAGATGTAGAAGTTAAAAAGGCTTGATTTAGAAGCCTTCATAATCCACTTGTATAATAATGTATTCATGGTGCTTTCAAGATCTATAAGACTCAAACCACCTATCATCTTATTGCGGGTACAGATTTCTAAGGCAACACTTATATAGATTTTGTATTCAAATCCTGTCTATAATTAGTTATGGAACATGCACTTAATCTGTTTGACTATCTTGTTGGATCTAGCCCAAACTTCAATAAAAATAAATAAATAAATAAATAAATAAATAAAAACATAAAGTAGACATCAAACCTTGATTGACTATTAACCATCTTTCTACTAAGGATAATTTAGTGGAATTCCAATAAGTAAGTTTCTTTCTCACCTTGGTGTGTAGAAAAATTCATCTATATTGGCACTTGAGATGTTTAGCCAAAATGAAGTGGCTAACAATTTTGTTATGTAACGTCTTCCAATCCATATTCACCCAAATTCATTTGTCTAGCTCGGAAGGAAAAGAAAGGGAGAAGGAAAAGGGCCTTTGTTCCTAATTCAATATATCCTTGATTTGAACCAATTAATAATTAATTCTAAAGCTTCACTAAATATATCTAAAATATTGAGGAAGTAATCTACCATTAACCTTTTAGCTTTGATTATAAATGAGGTATCATCAGCATATTAGAATATGAATTGTTATAGGTTGTTATCTAGCAATGTAACTCTATAAATAAATCCTATCAATTGAGTTTATTTGACTTTGGCATTAAATATTTTTTTCACTATTAAGAATAAATATGGAGCCATTAGATGTTATGGACATGTAATAAGAAGAATTTAGGAATATTTTTAAAATATTCTATTAGATTCTAAAAGATTCTATAAGATTCTAAAATGATTTTTAAAATATTTTAAAAAAAATTAGATGGTTTTTAGAATATTTCAAAAATTCTAAAAAAAATTAAAGATTAAACAGTTGTTTTAGAAGCATTTGAAGGTTGCTTCATCTTCAAGCAACATAAAAACTTCTTGAGAAGATTCCTAAAACCTAATATATATTGGAGCTAAGGCTTAGAGAATCTTCAAACTTGACATCATATCTCTTAAAGCTCTAGTTCATCTTTCCTAGTGTTGATTTTATACTCATCTAATTTAATCAAGTTCTTATTAGCTTTCTTCTTAAAACTCTTTCATTCAACTTCTTGTTTGATTTCATGTATAGTGTATCCGTGACATTGAACATCCTTGTCTTATTCCTTGTTAAATTAAAAAAAATTAGTAGTATTAACAATCAATCTCACATGACAAGCTAATAGAGCTTTTTTACAACTCTTAATTCTTTTAATGCATTCCACTCACTCACTCTCACATCTTGTGTACAACTTCTCAAATTATTATCAATGTTGTTATTCCAAAATTATTCAAACCTTATTTTAGGACATAAATCTTTGTAGAATTTCATGTCATGTATTAAAAAAGATGGCAAGTTTTAAAATTCAAGGAAATAATAATAATAATAATAATAATAATAATAACATATAATATAAGTAAATTCTATTGCCAAAAGGTCGATGATATTTTGAAGTCTATAATAAGAAATTATTTGGTAGAAAGAACGAAGCATTAAAATAATTTGAATAAGCAAGTATATTGAAGATATTATAAAGCATTATAAAATAACAATGAAATTGATAAAAACAAGAGTTTAACATGTAAAAAAATAATTTCATTTCATTGAGTATTATATGCTTAATTTTATTTTATATTTTAATAGATCATTGGTTTGATTTTTTAGCTATATTTGGATAAAAGAAATTATTACATTTAAAAAATATATATATATATATATATATATATATATAATTTCTTTTAATATTTATAAATAATTTTTAAATAAAAAAATATTTTAGATATTATATTTTTATATATTTAAAAATCTAAATGATTGAAATAAAAGATTCAGTATACCATATATAATAATAATAATAATATATTAACTACAATATATATATTGTTGGATTTGGATATTCTACTTGATATCATAGACATAGAATTTTATGTTCTTTTGAAATCTTCAATATTCTTCTCAGATTCTTTTGAATATTTTTTTAAATATTACAAAAGTTTCTTAACATTACATGTTATATAATTTAAGTAGCAAAATTATTATAAAGAATTCATTTAAAAATCTTATAAGAATTTTAAGTAGTTTAAAGAAAAAAATCACAAGAAGAATAGACAAAAAACTCCAAGCATTGTCTAATATATGTAAATGCAAAATTTAGTCTTTTCACCACATTTTTTAAATATTTCTATGTAATGATTTTTTAACTTGTTTATCTTTTAGCAAAGAAATTCATTTAAATTTTAATATTTTAATATTTTGTATTTTATTTTATGAATTCATCTATTTTTGTTTATAGGTTAAGTTTCACCCTTAATAATTTAACAAAATCAATAGAAAAACAATGGAATTTAAAAACATTATTGAAATTAAGTTTTTTTTATTTTATTTTATAAAGTTTAAAATCATTGTAATAATTAATTACCATCCACATCTAAATTGATTTTGTATCTTTTTTTATATAATTTTGTAATTTTAACAATCCTATAATAGTTAAAAGAATAAAATTTTAAAAAATTATAATATAAATACAATAATAGATTATAAAGTTAATTAATATAACACAAGTATCACAAGTCAAATTTATCAAACTTTACTTATAAAGCATACATTTTTTTGGTTTTTATTATTTCTAAAGAAATATGATTTTATTATTTATAATTTAAATGTATTTTGAGTAGTCCTTTGATATGTTTCTAAACAAAAGATAACATTTATATGTGTATTTCAATTTTAACAATTAGCTATTGACATTAACTTGAGTAAAGTCGCACATTTAAATGAATTTGTTTGTAAAAAACAACATGTAGTCAAAAAAATATTATTGATTATATTATATTTTTAGTTTCAAAACATTTATATTATGTAAAAAATAGAAGAAAATAGAAATCATTACAAATATATAAAATTATTAACATTCTTCTTTTGAGAAATTGTCAAAACTTTACATGCATTAGTTAAATACACAAGTATTCTTACATGCATCAAGTGACTATTTAAACTCTTTCATGACATCTAAAAAGTTATTGTAGGAATTATTAGATGTTTGTTTTCTAAGTCATATGATTGTTAAAAACCTTTAAAATATATCTTAAAACATATCAATCACATTTTTAACTTCTTTTTAAACTATTTGCTTTCCATCAATTTTTTACTCTTATTGTTTTGGATTTAAGATTTAGCGATGTAACAAACATTTAAATTTGAATACAAAGTATATCTACACCTGTATCTTTGCATGACTTGAAATCCTCAAAATGTAAAAATGTCACAATGTGAAAGGACAAAGCACCAAAATATGTCACAACTTCTGATCACAATCACACTTCAACGACAGCTACAACGTTACATCTAACAATACTTTGATGTTAAAATTAACATTACAAGAAACCTACACAAGCTCAAGAGAAAACAAATAAGGACAATGACAAACTCCATCTAAACAATAGCAGGGAAACTATAGCAATCATTGTCATGAATTTTATAACCCAAAGTGGTTTGATCTTAGCATGTTGTAAAAATACAAAAATATAAAAAGAAAGAATACAAAAAATCAGCCAGTAACACTAACTTCTAACTGTCTAGGGTTTTGCTGGAATAATACGCAGCTGAACAGCAACAGAGAGCAGAAAACAAGGCCTTGGGAATCTCTAAAAACAAGCTCTTTGAATTATCCTTCATTACGTGAGCCCTTGACTTTTGGTTTTCCTTTCGTACTGTTCGACGTGGCTGGGACAAAGGCTTACGCCACACATCGTCTAAATTCCAAATCCTCGCACAAGAGAGGTACATCAAGGTACCATTTCCTGCACCAGATTGCAGACCCATATGGAGGAAAAGAATCGTCACTGGCTGCGCTTTATGTGTCTCCATAAGCGTCCCGGCTGGAGTTGCGTCCGGAATGTGCTGCTCTAGTTTTTAACAGCTCTTCGAAGTCGAGGCTCAGTTAGAGCAGAGTAATTGAGTTGGGCGCAAACAAAGTTCACTAGAATAATCTGAGCCTCCACTTGAAAAAGATCTGTGAGAGATATCTCAATCATGGCTCTGATGCTTTTGCTCGATGACATTCTCCACCTCCTCCTCCTCCTCATTCAACCCTTGTTTTTCTGCTTCTTCATCGATATCCTCTTCGTTGGAAGAATCTGTGGTTTGCAGTAAAGATTGCTGAAACTCAGAATCCATGACAAAGCCATTCAGGACGTGAATTACAAACTGCCCTATGTGTAAGTCTGTCACCATGCAAGTCAGGTTATTCACCAAGAAACCCCTCCCAGGAACTCGCGTCACGGACACCAGTGAACCTGATAGAGACTCATACACAACTTCCTGGCCAACAGGAATGAGCTTCGAGAGGATAGACTTCGGCACGGTGCCGAAGCTCAGCAAGTGAGACATGATTATATAAGAATCAGAATCAGTTTTAAGAACATCTGCTTGTTTGCCCTTCTCCTCAAGATTCCGAAAGATGGGAACGTCAAGGAATGTAGCGTGGGAAGGCACGAAAATAGTAAATGGCACATCCGTTGGACCCAGCATCTCGATCATCGCGTCCCCAAATACACCTACGCTTCGATAGTTGGTCGCCGATTCCATATGGCGGGGAGGAAAAGGAGGGATCCAGGCGCCTCAAGACTTGCGGCAGATGGATCGCGGATGTAGAAGAGGACAGTGAGGGCAAAGTAGGAAATGACGACCGCGAAACGTAAGGGGGGTACGACACGAGACTGAAAGAAGGTCTGCCATGTCGATGAAGCCATCTGCGAAATAGCATGGGGCGCAGCAACAGAACCATTAGCCCAAATTACATAGAAACAAACCGAGCCGCTTGTCAGGAGCGAAACGGGTAAGAGATTCACGCTTCATCACATGATATCGACCTCTTCCGTCAAGATGTACGACGTCCATAACTCACTAGGACACGCTCCATTCTCACACTGAATCATCACATAGACTTCTCAAAATGCCGCACTTGAACCCTAAATAAGACATCCTCTAAAATCCGCTTTCAACTACGTCCCCGCCATCCTCCCGAGCAGTGAATATGTCCTTAATTGCTCTGCACTGAAAACCAAGCACCCACATAATGCTAATCTTAAATAGAACTTAAACCGCAATATTAAAGAACAGCTTCGAATTGAAACCCTAATTCTGATCATAATTGATATGAATTCACGTGGGCAACATACCTTAAGTAGAAGAGTTAGATGATTCTGAGGAGATCTAGCTTCCGGTTGAGAACACCGTCCCATGTGTACTCCTGTCCAAAGCTCCTACATTGTCTACCTCCCACGTCTGACGCCTGCAACCACGATTACGAAAACGACCCAAGTTGGCATATGAGCACACGTTTCAGAGGTCATGTGGACTAGTGAGGTTAGCAACCAGCACCACAGAATCCTTGACACATTCTCGACAGCACCACCGGCGTCGATATCGTTTTTAGGTACATGCTACCATGCAAAAGCTCATAATTATGACTACATAATCAGCCACTAAAACATTGCTCGTGTTTCTCATGTGCACGCATTCCACTTGCGATCAACGTCTGTATCGCTCGCTACGCAGAATCTTCATCTTCTACGTGGTTCCAGATTGTAGTTGGCGAATTCAACAGAAAATGGGCAGCCCTAAACCCTAAATCCTAAGCAGAGATTCTCATTTCACAAGGTTGATGTGGAGGGTGTCATTCTTATGTGATCTACTAGGATGTCTGAGGAGTATAAAGAAAGTTAGTTTATGAGTTGTTAATCTCTAGAAGCTACATGAAATACAAGATAGAAGCCATGTGGGTGAAGAATTTCCTTACGTATTTTTAAGCACTAGGTTGCAAGTGAAGGTGTGGGAAACTTAAGTCAATGTATGTGTGTTCTGTGAAATGGTTTCTTGTAGTTCCGTGTACATAAAACGGGTTCTCATATTGAGTATGTTATGTTTGTGGATAATCAATCATTTTTAGATATTTGGATTAGAGTTGAAAATATCAAGTCAGAATGCATGTTTCAATGTTCTTCCCATCAACCTTTGTGTGTTTTCATATCTTTGCTTAAGGTAATTGTGGACATTGATTGTTTGATTGTTTTTAATTAGTTAATTTTCAAGATAGCCTACCATTTAATTACTTAATGTACAAGATATTTTAACACATGACTTTCAAATGTTGACCTACCATTTGATTAGTTAACAATTTGTTTTACCTACCAGCTTAATTGGTTAATGTATAAGATATTTTAACACATGACTTTCAAATTTTACTTTTAAATTAAATTAAATATTTTGATTTAACTAAATTTTGATAAAAGATATATAAATACATATTTTTTTGTTTTGGAAGTAAGATTAGTTTAATTATATGTTAATATTAGAAATACAATTTTTCTGTTATTATATAATTTCAAAAAGAATTGAAGTAAGTCAACCAATCTTCAAAACCATAGATATTGATTTATCAATTTCAGTTATTAAAACAATTAGCATATTTACAAGTGAAAGAAGTATTTATTTATAAATTTTGTTATAAGTGGATATGCATGTCAAAAAATCCTAGTAATTTTTTTCTATTTTAAAAAATATATACTTTTGAACTATTAAAATAAGGATTATAATAAATCATTTTGCACTTATCAATACTTATACTAGTTTTTACTTTAGTATTATAACATATTTTACATCTGATATTCAAATTATAAAAAATTACTCTCAGAGAAGCAACCATTTCTTCTAAAAAAGCATTTCAATAGGATATTTCAAAATTGAGTGGATTATTTATCTTTTAAGACTATTAGAATATTTTTAAGGGAGCAAATTAGCATGCTCAAAATCGACATTTAAAAACAAATTTTGTAAGTATAAAAAATCACTATCAAGTTGTCATAGCAAATGTGTTTTAAAAACATTGTAGTGGTTTTAGACAATTCACAAATTATATTGAAAGATTTTTTTCAAATTCCAATATGGTGCTTCTATTTAAACTTGCTATTGAGTTTGATATGATATATTTTATTAGCACTAAATACTCCAACTTTCTCTAATGCGGAGATCTTTAGATATCTAAGAAATTCCAAACAACCTTAAATCCCCAACTTCTCATACCTTCATGTATATATGATAAGATATCTTTCTAATTGCACTATTAATGTAATTCAAACTCAAGAAGCATATACATCTCTCATAAATTTATAAAACACCAAAAAAATGATTGTTGACTAAACTTAATCTATTCATTATTAATGTATACCAAAAATCTATAAAACCTATACATGGATTTTATTTAGAGCTTTTGAATCTTCATTGATATTTTTAGAAAGCAATCATATTATAATATAGCATGTTAAAGTCACTAGGGAATAATATTTAGCAATAATTTTATTTTGCAAAATAAAGGTAAATTTTGGTAGTAATTAAAATTAATTCGACATTATATATTGTCTACAATGTCAGCTAGCATCTTTCAAAAAAACAAAAAAAAAAAAACTTTCAGAAATATATTAATTTTGAAATAAAAATAAAAAATAAAAATGGAGCTATATTATACATTTATAAGAAGAAGTCATAAAAAAAAGATTTTGATGCAAAAAACTATAATTTTTGAAATTTATTTAAGTACTTCACCTATTAAATTATTTTAGTGATTATTTGCTAAAGATAAAACAAACTAATTATAATTATAATTATAATAGAAAAATAAAATACATAGACACGGTATTAAAGCATTAACTATGTGATTTGCCACATTATCAAATTGCAAGAAAAAAACACAATTTTTATGTGAAGCTATTTATTGCATGTTATTAATTATATCAATAAAAGAATAAATTAATGGTACTTTTAAAAATTAATATCTAGCATTCAAAATTAGTAGCAACACTACATGTTGAGAAGAAAAGATCAAATACTACAAATATGTGTCAATTATCAAAACCTAAACAAACATTTTGATAATATATATATATATATATATATAATACAATTAATTAAAAGATTATTGGAACAGAGAAAACAATAAAAAAAATTACAAGTACTGATTTGATGTGTACTCATAATATTATAGGAGTTAAATAAGCCAACCAAATAAAAGTAAGTATTATATTCAACACAAGAGTTCATTGAATACAATATCATGTCATTGGGATTTATAAATATTTATACAATCTATTCTTCTGTAATAAATAATCTATTGAGAGAAAGATAATCAAATTTGTAACCATCTGTTAAGATGATATTTTGATCAGTTTCAGGAATTAAAAAAAATTCAAATTCTATGTACATTTTAAAGTTGAAAAAACTACAAAATCAAAGGATTATACACAAGATTTGAAAATAATATATTAATTTCAAAAAATAAACTAATAGATTTTTTTGTATCAAGATTTTTCATTTTTTATTTTTTTATTTTTTTATACACCTTAAAAAATTAAAACACTCGATAGTAAAGAAAAATTTGAACAATCAAAGACTATCAATATGTTCAAAGATTTCTAAAGTTATCAAAAATTTATTAATCACAGACCATTTTTAGTAGACAACCTTGTCAAGAAGATTAATAGAAAAAGCAAAAAAATAAAAATAAAATTAATCATTGAAAATAGGACCAAATAAGATTGTAGAATATTAAAGAATTTTTAAGAATTTCTTTACATCTAAACTAACATCAATACACACAAATCAAATAAAACTAATGATTTTGGATAGTAGAACGAATTTACCCATTATAGATGGATGAATTAACTGGTGAGTGGATGAAAAACCATTCCATACTCAGAAACCCCAATGGATGGTGGGGATGAACAAACAAATATGTGGAAGTGGGTCGTCAACATTACAGTGAACCATCAGATGCGAGTGAAGGAATTCTGCATGTCCCCATGAAACTCCCCCTTCCCCCTCCACTCCTTTTAAGTGCCATGCACATCAGAGCCCCTCCTTCATGACTCAGCAGTTGCCAACTGTACCCTCCTCCTCCTCAAGCTTTCCATATATTGCCTCACAGTGAACAATAACAAGAACCTTCTCATTCTCCAACGCTTTATATATATATATATATATATATATAATATCATACTACAACTACTACATGGAAGGTGATCAACTGTGGACAGCTGGGCATCAGTGAAGCTTGGGCCAGTTGGGACCACAGCAAAGATGGGAGAGGGGAGGAAGGAGGCTCCTGGTAGGATGGGAAGGAGGGGAGTGAGTGAGTGAGTGACATGGCACCTTATTTCCACATAATTATATTAATAAGAAGTACCGTCTGCCATGTCACGCTGTGTGTCTCATGGCATTCCTCTTCTTCCAGCTCATCTTCCTCATACTTCTAGAACCTTCAAAAACCTATCCAGCAATTGGGGTATTAATGGGAAGCTTCTTGCCTTTATCGTACTCTGGTTGGATATTACGTTCACTGAGAGAGCGAGAAGATGGTTCTGTCTCATTCCATCATTGTTGCTTACAGTGTGCTCCTGTGAATGATCACCCCAAAACTCATAACACCGAATATTATTTATTGTGGAATAACTCATATTGAAATATAATTGGGTGTGAAATTCTGGACTCGCTATGTGTGGTGCATATTTTCTCTGATTCCCTTTTGATGAAATCTCCTTGAATATATATTTTTGTTTTGGGACATTGTATGGATTGTCAAGGTTCTTCATGTGTCCAAATTCACTGCTGAAATATTCTTTTTTGTGTTCATTCATTCTTTCCCCCATTCGCTTTCATCCCAATTTCTAGTTCAAATTTTGTGTCAATTTCCCAGAGTGTGATAAACAACTTGTCTTAGTGCTATGATAAATAACTAATATTGAGAGTTGGTTTAACTAAATATTTGTTCAGTGACAAACCATAGAAGTTTTGAATCAATAAATAATGATAATTATAGTAATAAATCATTTATTCTCTTACAAAGAGTAACTAAGAGAGTACAATTATCTCAAACAATCACAACAGACTTGCGACAAAACAAAGCAAAGCAGTTAGCGGTGTATGTATTTAATGAGATTGCATTTGCACTTGAGTGTCCTCATTTGGCATCCATGATACCAACAAGGTTTTGTATTGTTTTATTTTGTGGCATGTTGAATTAGTTAAAATTAGGCTTCACATCCACTAACAGTTGGATGTGAAGGGCAAGTGGCCAGTAAAATTTCCTTTCAACATTTTCTCATATTTTGTTTCCCTGTTAAAAAAGCTGGAAGCCTGCAACTGGCTCTTTCGTTTTGTCTTTTTTATGTTGAGAGTGTGACCAATGATTTCACCAATCCCCAAGGAAAAGCTTCATACAGTACCAGGCCTATACATGCTTGCCACTGAGAATAGTATAGAACATTCTTCCAGCACCACATTCATGAGGGAGAGAAGCAACACAACCCAAAGCAAAGGGGCCAAAGTAGTAGGGGACCCACCCATAAGGGGAGAGAGAAGCAGCTCATGAGAGGGGAACAAATTCTGCACAGAACTGGTGCTCCCCAAAACCCATAGAATCTCCTTGTCTTTGTGTCCCACAGTTCTGGCACAGGAAACTCACAGGAATGTTTCAGCTCCTCCAAGGACAGTCCCCCCCCCCCCATTGCCCAGTCTCCATGAATTTCCTTTGTCTCCAGAAGCAATTCCACAACGAGTGCTCTTGTGGTTCCTATTGCGTGTAACACCTCTGAACCATGAATACCTACAAAGTGCAGCAAAATACTTTTTGTAATCATGCAAACAGTAATTCTTCAGAAAACAAACACACTAACTAGCCACGTGAATCAACTCACACGACACACACATACATATATATACATATAAATGTGTGTGTATGTTTTTTGAGATTGTACAGAGGACAGAATTTTCCAGATGACATCACCACACATCACACAATGCCAGTGTTTGTTGACCTACTCAAGACCCAAGATAAGACGTTGAATGTGGATTACTTGGGTCCTATCTAACGTGGCGGCCACATGGCAAAGTGGGGCAATTCGGTCATATCACCGACGTGGCAGATTGATATTTGTGAAGGAATTGGGTGGATAAGTGGGGTTCCCTTTTGTTAGGACCTGGGTCCACGCTGCCATCATACTTGGATAAGAGGAATTAAGGATGCTGAGGAAGCCCTTTTTCGACATCTTGTCCAGTCACCAAGTTTTATCCTTTTGCTCCTGTAGGATTCATTCTTTTTTGTTTCTCTGAAGGATCCATAAATAAATTTGTCACCTGAAATAACTTTTAAACCATCAAAGGATGTGTGAGAAAGTGACAACTGCTAGCACCGATCATGGTTGTAAAATATCTGGTTTGCTTGATTGGAAACGATAGCTCTTTTGTTATAGAAAATAGTGTTTTTTTTTCATCGTCCTTGAAAATCAAATATCAAGATGTGTGACTTGTGTTTTCAATTACACTATGCTGTTGAAACCACATATCATACTATATTTTTCAATAATTTGACTTTATCTGTAGTATGGGATACAAATGCGTTTTTTAAGCATGTTGCTTTTCATTTTCAAATTGTATAATTGATATACAAATAGTGCAAGTTGATTTTGGTGGATAGAGTACAACATGAGCCACAACCTTCTCAATATCCAATCTGTGGCCAACTTTTGTTCCCACAACACCATGTTCCGATTCTGCCACAAATTACGTCCTGCAGATTTTATTTTCGTGGAACACAAGTGGCGGAGGGCAAAGGAAATCTTGTGTTTATTAATTTTGTTGTTGTTGATATTACTATTCTCCTCTCTTACTTATGTGTCAATGTCGCATCTTTCAACAATTGGCCTCAAGTTCCGAGCATGCCCAAACATTATTTCTATTACTGGAGTGAATGATGACCCACTTGACACCAAGAGTTTATTTTAATAAAAAATAATGCATTCTCATTCGTTGTTTAATGGCATTGTTTATACAGGTGTCCTTCTCGAAGTTAAAAGGGGAATGCTGATTGTTCACCAAATCCTTGTACACTGGTGCCAAGATTTTCAACGCACGTTCCTTTTTCTCTAGAAGAATCAAAACTTGGGAGTCGCACTGAAATTTGTGCCGCAGAAGATCGTATCTTAACAGGTACCCTTTTGGGATATTTTTTACACCTCTAAGGACAACACGTAGCAAATGAAAAAAGTGTTTGAATGGATTGTTTATTAAATTGAAAATGACAGTACTCACAAGAAACATAAAAGTAAAACGAGTTGAGAAAAACGAGTCCCTGGAGCACGAATTTGCTTAACACCGAATATAATTTTCCTGTACTTCATTCCTGTACTTATCAAATTTTACCAAATTTTATCAGAATCTAAATTTTATTATTATTTTTTCCCCCGCCCATACAAGAACCTCTGTCTTAGGACAGAAAATGAAAGTTCGAGAGTTTGATCAAACCACAACTCTTAATTTTCTTGTTCATTCATATTATGCCTTAGTAAATAATACACCCACACACACACATATATATATATATATATATATATATATACATATATACATGTGTGAGAGTATACACATACCCACAAAACACCTCATAAGGTACTGGAGCCAACTCGCCTTTAGTCCGTCAGTTGGCCCACTTGTTCACGGAAATAGCATCCCTTTTCCTTGCAACTGGTGACCGTTCGTTCCCATGAGTTCCCATGAGTTCCCGAAGTGCGGATGTCGGGGGAACTCGTCCAAGTAAGCCCCGCAAAAAGGAATGGCTCCGAGCTGGATTGTCTGCGTCAGCTCAAGGCAAATGAATGGCTCCGAACTTGGCTGGGCTTGTCCGAGTCAGCCCTCTCTCCCTGAGACCACCACTTCAACTCGGAGCCCACCAGCCCTACTTTGGTGGGGTCCAACACCGACCCGTGGGCGTGGGTGACCGCGAGGAGCGTGTGGACGTTACTGAGGAAGATGGAAGGAAGGAGAACGTACTTCGTCACAGCAGGGCAGGGGCAGCTCCGAAGAAGAAAAAAAAGAAGCTCGATGCTGAACAAGAGGTATAAATAGAGAGTGTCCCGGAGGCTCAGGGCACATTCATTTGTTATCATGCATGGAAGGAAGCACGGAAGGAAGGACGCAAGGATTGATCCTTAAGTGGCCTTGGGACAGCGAATCGTGGACGGAAGGAAGGAAAGGAACTTGAGGAGGAGTCATATTACTAACTGCGGAGAGAAATTTGAGGCTGTCGAAGGGAAGGAACCTAGGGTTTGTGAGCTCGATAGGTTTTATTTTACGATTTTAACATCGAGGGAGAGAACGTGTTGCGAAGAGTTTTGCATTGTGAGAACTGAGAGGAGAATTTGTTAGTGATATTTTGGAGAAGAAAAAGGAGTTTGTTTAAGAGGAAGATTGTGGCGTAGCAATGGCAAGAGCTGTCATGTCATTGAATGTCGCAGGACTTTCTTCCTTTGTGAAAGATGGGGGCCTTAGTTCGCCTTCATCGCCGGCGAGTTCAGGATGCGATAGTCCGATCTTTTGGTGCAGCTCAGCTTCGCACTACGGTGGGCAAAGGATTGCTACCGCATCTTCTCCTCGAGAACCTTCGTCTTGCGGACCTACTCCAGGAGCTCGAGCGTACGCGGCCACAGAGGAAAATGTCAGGACAAGGTTTGTTTCTGGGGTTGTCACTAAGAACTTGTACGATCTCTTAGGCGTGAGCAAAACGGCATCTCCTAGAGAAATTAAAGCTGCCTACAGGCTGGCGGCTCGCCGGCTACATCCCGACGTTGTTCCAGAGGAACAGAAAATGGAAGCCACTAAGGCCTTCTTGGAAGTGCAACAAACTTACTCAATACTCGCTGATCAGCAATTGAGAGCGGCTTACGACTTGACACTTTCCATGCAAACTTTTCAGTCTGGCGGTTTCATCAATAGAAGGCCCATCTCATATAGCGGGATGGAAGAGATAACTTACTCTACTCCTTCTTGGGGTTTCACTTCTTCTCCAATTTCCAGCAACGATTCGTTTTCCTCCAGCAATTTTTCATTTAAGGGACGCAATTGGGAGACCGATCAGTGCTGGTGATAAGCATTAGAACCTGAGCCATTCCTTGGGGTTCATTATCCCCTTGTTGTAAATTGTATAACCTGATATAGAGTGAACGCGAAGTCGCGGCTGTGCACTTGGAAGAGCTATTTTTGCCGCCCGAAGCACGAGTGTAAATTTAAAAACAAAGCTTGGATTATGAGAAATACCCTGAAAAAGTCTATTGCCTGCGGGAAAAATGTCCGAACAATTGACTTGTGCAAGAGGCGTGATATTACGCCGCAGAATGTTGGCAAAAGATTTTGTTAATTAGCAAATTGATTTCGCAGCAAACAATTGCAGTGTCTTAACCTCAAACTCGAGCATCAATTGGGAATACTTACGTGGTGGCTTGTATGAATACCTTCCGTGAAGATCTCCGACGGAACCAGCGCAAATCATCAAATTTTGTAAACTCCTACACATGATTCAGGAGCAGTGTGCTACACAACCTGTGCAGCAAAAAGACGTCTCATCATCAAGAGTTCGATCACAGAATAAAAGAAGTATTCGATAAGGTTGACAATGCACGTTCCTCGGTTCCTAACAACCGGCAAGTAATGACTGTTCACAGGGGCGAGTTACGGCAGAAGTCGCGCCGACCTTCGCTCACATATTGTGAATCTGATTGTGATGCCCACCAAGTTGTCAAATGATTTCTTATGACATGTATGGAATAGGATAACCATGATTTGGCCTCCAGGTCGGCAGGAGAAATTCTTCAGCAAAATCACCCGGCTCACAAGGCTGTAATATCTCTTTTTTTGCAAAACCATTCCACACTCCATATCCAACTGCAATTGGATTTCATGGCTGCCATTTGTGCGTCAGAGGCCCTGAACACTTACAAACGCTGTGTCCCACACATCCCCCTCGCCTCGATGCACATGGAAACAACAACAACAACAACAGCCAGTTTTCTGGAGTGCAGAAACCACGCAAATCAGACCTTCGAGATTGTTTTGTTAAGAAATTTACCGAGGCTTCTTCTCCTTCTTCTTCATCATCATGTTTGTTTGTGAATATTGGTAATGTGGGTTTAGATTGAGTGGCAGTTGGTTGTTGTGTCTGCTACTCCAAAGTGTGCAACAATAATAAATATTGCATCTTGAATTGTTACAAAAGTGAGCCTCAAACACATGATGATTTTTTTTTTTTTTTTTTTTTTCCTTTCCTTTCCTTTTCTTGTAGAGAGTATAGTCATGAACGACTCATTAAATTTTTAATGTAAATTGATTTGATACTAATAGATAACATTTTTATCATATATAAGTCTAAATTTAGTAAAATATTATAGACAATTTTATTTGGCTCTATAGGTCTTTATTATTAATATTTTTTTACAAGTTTTGCTTTATCTTTATGCTTTTTCTTAACAAGTTGTATTATTTGGTGGGATTTATGATGGGATTATGTCATTCATAAAAAAATATTGTCCACGAATTGTCCTCATCTAACTTCTCCTAATGTTTTAAATTTGTCTTAAATGTGTTAAATTTGTTTTTTATATTTAATATACTTAGATTTTTAAAAATTGGAATCTATTTTTATATTTAATATACTAATATTTTTTTAGTTAGATTTTATTTAATATACTTAGATTGTTTCTAATAATGATACAGTTTAAAACCCCTTTAAAACTTTAAAATTAAGATTTATTCAATTTTGGAGGTTTTTTTATATTATTTTTTTTTAAACACAACACAAAATCTTAAAAAATTACAAATTAATGTTTGATGAAGATTTTTGAAGCAATAAATTAATTGCGCTCTTTTTCTCTAACTAGTTTTATTGTTCTCTTATAAGTCTAATATAAAGTCATCATTAATTTACATGTCTTGTGATTTAGTTTTAATTTTTAAAAAAATTGGTTGTTTTGTTTTATTTTTAAGCCATACAATATCATTCTTCATATTGTTGGAATATATATATATATATATATATATATATATATATTTTAGTTTTTGAATTCCATTTTTTTAGAGCATTTGACATAGATTTATAAGACTATTAAACATGTTTTAATTTTTAATTTTTAAATGATATTTATCATTACTATTGTAGCTACTAATTTTTCTTCCTATAACTATATTTAAGATAGTTGCAAATGTTGATAATTTATTTTTGAATTTAAGAAATATTAATAAAAACTCATTTGATGCATTACTTATATAACATGTATTTCTATAATTGTTGTTGTTGTTGTTGTTGTTGTTTTTTTTTTCTTGTTTTTTTTTGTTTTTTTTGTCAATTTCAAATTGCAAACTACATTTGAGCAATGGAATTTTTTAAAAAATAAAAATTTAAATCTCTTTTGATTAAATACTACATTAAAACCAAGAAATTTTATGCAAAACCAAGATATATATATATATATATATATATATATATATATATAGTCTTTTGGAGTATATTTAATTAATATATATTGTAATAAAAAAGAAGAATTTTTATGCTTATGTTTATGTATGTGTATATATGCATAATGCAAAACACACTTACAGTTATACATTTATTACTATCCTCAATCTTGTTCTTAAAGTATATTTCACTACCTTTATTTTTGTGAAATTATTACCTTAGATTATATGTTATTTATATTACATTATCTTGTCTTTGTTTGTTGATTTAGTTGGGGGTCTTTAATTCCAATTTGAACTTCAACCACACTTAGATTCCAGTTTTTTTCTTCCAGCATTAATATTTAGGAATTTCAATGACATTATTTTAACATTAAGAAAGATATTTACCTCTTTCTGTACAGTTTTTTCAAAAGAACATGTATGTACATATACTCACATTTTGCTCGAAGCAAAATTGCCATGCAAAAAGATGCATACAGAAACCTCGACATCAGACAAATGTATGTGGAAGATACGTGTAACTTTCTTTTGAGATGAAGTTTACAGTGGTTCCATTGAAACAACTGGATTCAAAAGCAACCTTCAGTGACCTACTCTACTCCTGCTGAAAAAATATATTTTTTTCTTAGAATCAATATGCAACTTCAGATCATCATCAGTTTGTATCATTTGCTTATCCGCAAATCCATAGTGTGACGGAAGTGATCACATTCCTTGGAAAATTTTGGACTTAGAATCAAGTTACAGGAACACTGGATCAAGATGAATACTTGGTTCTGTACAACAAAACCTTGACTTCAATGAACAATGTCAACTTACAATGTGTGCCACAGGATCTGTGTGGATCTGATCAAACAAACTGTTAACAAAATGACTCACCTTCCCTTGCACGAGATACTTCACTAATACACTAAAAACAGATCTAGATCATTGTGCCTGTGTTTGTGTTTGTGTGTGTAAATATATGTCGAGAGAGAGTGATAGATACAATATCCGTGTCTGCATATCATCGAGTGTGTATGTATATATAACTGTGTGCAATGTGATTTGGATAGCTGTTCATGTATATTCTATCAACAACGAGCTTTGTTGATGGAGGACCATTATGATTATTGGGTACATGAGGAATGGCTTCTGTTCTACCTTAGGCCTGGTTTAGGGTTTAAGGTAAACCTGGTTTATACATATATAGATAGATAGATAGATAGATAGATAGATAGATATTTTCACACTTTCGAGCTCCAGCGTTTTGAGTGCATTGTGTGTCTGCAATTGCTTTGCCTAGGTTTTTGAGCTAGGTCAGCATTTTGCTTCGGAATGTTAGAGGAATGGTGAGGGTGCTAGAGACTTTTACGGTAACAACGGTGATATAGAAAGTTTTTGCGAGTGGCACGCGAGAACAGCATCAGGTGAACATAATCAAGTAAAGGTCTTATACTTGTAACCAAGTGAAGTACTGAACCTATTGTACTTGAATCAATGATCTGCATTTGTGTGCACCCTCTTTGTGGCATTAATTTCCCTTCAATGTATCCGCTGTTAAACTTTGTTTCGTTGCCTTAAGTGTTGAAGTGGAGCTCCAGATATGTCGCAGAGAGTTGCAAAATGACTAGTAGAAGGGCTGTCTTCCCATTTTCAAGTCATTCCTGTCGCATTTTGGTTCTGCATAAGAACGCAATGAATATTAAGTGGGAGACGGGGAGTTGCAATCCTTTCTAGACTCCTTGCCGCTTAGCCAGATTGTGCTTGATTCAAAGTATTGATTACATTCAATATCTGTTGTTTTTGCTCAAATTTCAAGCAGCAGGAACATGAAGTCTTCATACGGGCAAATCTATCTGCCTTGAAGAATATCCACACGATGTTTGAAATTTTCCTTCGTTCCAAGAGCCTAAGAAATTGTTCAAACCTCACGATGAAGGAACACCCAACTGCTGCAGACATGCAACAGCAGCCAGAATCACGACTGCTAGATGAAGGTTGGAGTTATGCAAATATATATATATATATATATATATCTATGTAGCATACAAAAAACGAAGCCTATGTCTAGATAGTTCGGAGCTCCGAAACCAATGAGGGAGAAAGTAGCCCACTTCGTCTGAAGCATCAGGCTCTGAATGTGCAGCATCTAACCAGACAAGAAGCCAAGTGCAACTTGCCAATTCCAAAAGTATGGAACCTACGAAACTGCACAGCCAGTGCCTTAGCAGTTCCTGCACTGATCTCCAATTCCATCGCTAAAGCGCCGCGTTTTAGGGGAATCAAGGGCAGAACGGTTTTGTACGCAAACAACTCAACGTCCCATTCCAGAAATGGGTGCTCATTCAAGTTGCTGGTGCTGGTGAGATTCGATTCCGTGATCTAATCGGATTCTGTTGTCTATTTGATTGACTTGATTCACACTATTGAACACTGATTCTTTTGAGGGTGGAAGTTGGGGGTGTGGAGAGCAGAAGATGTTAATCTAAATTAATTTTTTTAGATGTAATTGTAACTATTTGGCATGCCCGTTTTTTTTTGGTAGTGCAAGGGAGGTGAGGATGATGAGTCCAAGTGAAAATACCAGAGCTTAAACCCACTAGCCTGGTTATATAAAGCAAGGTTTTTGTTTCTAAAAGCTGCCTTCTAAGTTTCGGAGGCAATAAACAAGGGTTTCTCCTTGTACCCAAACATCACCTTATCAGTAAAAATACAGAAATCATATTCATCTAGAGTACCCTAATTTGGAGACTGTTTTGCCAGAATAATAAAGATTGATGTTGTGGTGGATAGAATAAACTGTTTTTAGAACTTGATTTAAGCCTATGAAATTAAAACTCCGCACTCCAAGTAGAACAATGGTCTGTTCCAGAGTTTACTTAAAGGAAACTTTGCTAAATTAATAATCACATATACACATACATATTTATGTATTTTGGATTGAACATT